CATAAATATATCTCAGTGACGGTTTGCATGTTTTCACATTGGGTTGAGGCCTTTCCTTGCAGAAGAGCAACAGCCTTAATCATAGGTAAATTGTTACTGGAATGGATAATTCCTGTTTGGGGAATTGCTTCTGAGTTACACAGTGACTGGGGAGCTGATTTTACCAGACAAGTAATTAAATCTATTTGTGACATTTGACCAATAATGCATCACTTTCACTGTGCTTATCATCCCCAATCCTTGGGATTGGTGGAACGAACTGAGGACACTATCCAAACTCAATTGGAAAAACTCAGAAACATTTAATTTCTTGGCCTAAAGCTCTTCCACTAGCACTTCTCAATCTTAGGTCCACACCTTTTGGTAAATATCAGCTGTCTCCTTTTGAAATAATTACAGGAAAGCCTACATAGATGAGGGAATGTATGAACCAACTTTACTCAAGGGAGATAAATTACATTATTGTCAGGGTCACATTGAGGCACTCAAAAGAAGTGAAATGCTGGTAGCTGATTCCTTCCACAGCACGCTCCCAGGAGACAAAGACCTTAAGAATCATGAACTGCAACCTGGGGATTTTGTTTATTGGAAACGCCATCAAATAAAAGGACCTTATCAGGTACTACAATCTAATCCATGTGTTGCCAAATTAAAAGGCATATATTCATGGATTCCCATCTCTCATTTTAGAAAGGCACCTCCACCTGAGTGGATTTTGACTCCTGTTTCTGGCTCTCAGCTTCAACTGATTAAGATAAGCACCACCAAGCCAGGATTAAAAGATGACATCAGGGTAGGCAGCTCCTCCCAAGACTCAGGACCAGGCCTGTATTCTTACTTTTCCTCCATTTTATCACATCTACTACTTTAGACAATATTGGACTCACTGTCTATCCTCCCCTTCCCCTCTATTAACATCCCAAGGAAACAGCATGGCTGCCTGCCAATCTAACTAATGTAACCCCAAACACAGCCTTAGTTTTATATGATGATGGTGACTTAGATAAAACGCCTATGACTCCTTGGGTGTACCTAATATTCCTTTGGCTTTTGGAACTTACTTTTTGGGATATGTATATCACAGAGGGCCACTGTTAGGGAAAACTTTTCAGACAATATTACCTAATACAAATCTAACTTACATTGCATATAATACCCAACAAACTTACCACTGTGTATCTATAAACTTAGATGATCAATTGTTAAGCAAAAATTCCCCGATACGATGGAAAAAAAATTAGCAGCTATTTGCCCAGTATGTCAAATATCCCATGCCTTCATAAACCAAGTTTTTGTGGATGGAATGGCAGAAAACAAAATAAGAAAAAACAATGGATATCTATCAAAAATTCCATTTTAGGGGTAACCTGGTGGGTTCAAGCTGCTCCTAAGTTTACATCTATTGTAACACCAGGAAGATTATGGGAAGCCCTATGGCATACCCAAACAAAGAAATACCCAGGTGTTACTACTACCCATTTAACATTAGTCTGGGGAACCCAACATGTTTGGGTTGAAATCCTTTATCCTAATTGCACCAATGCCATTAACCTGCAATGTCAAGATCACATTTGGTGGATTAATCAGCACTGGCCCCAAAGGACGAAGCAAGCGTTGGGAGCTAGAGGATCAGGGTTAGGTATTCTTGGACAGGCTGCATTTGCTTTTACTGAAGAAAGACATTCAGAAGAAAAAAAATTCTAAAACAAATAGGCAAGTTAAAGGGGCTACTATTTCAAGAAGATGGGAAAATATGGAGATCTGCTTGGGCTGATAATTTAGCACTAATGAAATGGTTAAAACAGACTGAACATATTATGTCAGAAAAGGCCCATACCCAACAAGAGCAAAGAGCATGTACTTTGACTCAACAAGGGCTTTTAGACATGCTAATTCAAATGGAGTCTGAAGTAGCAATGGGTCACTGGCCTTCTTTGCTCACGGCAGAAACCCAAAATCTATATCTACAGAAGTTATATAGCCCACCTAACTTATGGACATTTGTCAAAGGATCCTGCAATTCACATAAGTGTTCTATTACAGCTTTAGTGTTTAAACCTGCAACAAGCCACACCTATGATGTTGTTCAATTGGTGGGTACAGGGATCATTTTAAATTCTACCAGGATTCTCCCTGTTGGGGAAGATGGGCCTTATTATCAAATAGTTCCTACTGGACCCCTATATCCACTCAGATTTGTGAATTTTGACTACGTATGTGTCTATGGCCTGAACAACAATGAACGCCAAATTTACTACCACTTGCCTATAATGACCACACCCATACAGAAAGATATATGGTATATGAGAAAGAAAAATTTTGTTGAGAATGTTTAAAAAACACCTCTGTCATTCTTTCTGACCTGTATTGTCATCAAAGTACTTTTTGTCATAACTTTACTGCTATGTGGTGTAATATCGGCTTTGCTAGTCAAATAGAACTGCCTACCTTTAATAAGACTAGTGATATTGATATTGATGATCAAATGTTTGGGGAAATAGAACTACATTCACCATAAGATGTAATTTCAATGGAATCTAGTTGGCCTGAAAAATCATTACAGGTAGGGGCTGGCCCATGGCCGAGTGGTTAAGTTCGCGCGCTCTGCTGCAGGCGGCCCAGTGTTCATTGGTTCAAATCCTGGGTGCAGGCATGGCACTGCTCATCAAACAATGAACCACGCTGAGGCAGCGTCCCACATGCCACAACTAGAAGGACCCACAACGAAGAATATACAACTATGTACTGGGGGACTTTGGGGAGAAAAAGGCAAAAAATAAAATCTTTAAAAAAAAATCATTACAGCTAGCAACTAAAGATATTATTATTATAGTAAACCAGACTGCCCAAATTTATCATAAAGTACACATAACAGTAGATATAGGAGGCAAACAAATACTTAAATTAGTTCAAAGTTACCAAAATACCTATAGTGGATCCTTTGATTTCTTCTCTTATCTTTTTCAATCCGTGCCTAATCCACATTGGTTACTTCAAATATTATTGATTGCTTTCTCATTATTGTTATTATATATGTTCTATAAATGTTATAAAACAATGCCATTGCAAAAAGTCACATAAAAGCACATGTACAATGCTTGTGCAACAAGTCGATTTAACTGACAATGTGTATAACCTATGAAAATACTTCCCGTATCAGCACATACATCCATGTTCATCCACTATATTTGACTATTTCTCCCCAATGTGGAGAACCAGGCAAGTCAATAAAAATAAAAGCCCAGCTCTGAGGGACAAGATGGACCCAGGGCAGGAAGGATCCACTTTGGCTTTGATGGACAAATATCTTGATCATTAATGCTTTCCTTGGAGGATTATTGATCAAAAGGGGAAAATACTGTAAGAAATTTTCACATACTCTGTGTAGTGAAGCCATTCTGGTGTATAATTGATTCTGCCTGAAATTCATACAGGGAAAATAAAAAGCCTGACTTACATTGTACTGACCTCCACTGTATCAAACATACACTGTACACCTGCTCTAAACATTACCCTAAAGTGAAGAATGCACTCTTCGGAGATAGGGGTGCATGCCTCCCTCCCTATGACCCCAATTCCTGTACTCCTTTGAAGATAAATTTCTCTTCCCAGATGCCAGGGTCATGTTGACCCACTGTGTATGTGCTAATCTGTAACAAAATGTCTCCTTGAAACCTCAAAGGAATGTACCCCTATCATGCTTGCTGTATGTTCTTTGTTCTGAAATGGTATGGAAACCGTGCTGAAAGCCATGCTTGTCCAGAGCACTTCCTTCCTGGGTGAAGGCTGCACTCTTGGGCTAGTCCTCAGCTTCGCTTGAAGAAAATTCTCTTCTATTCTGTATTATAGATTGATATTGATTATTTGTGTTGACAATAATTCTGTGGGACTGCCTAAATACTAATTGCCTCCTATGTTAATCAGTTTAAAAAATAGTAAGTAGCATCATAAAATATCCACACTGCTTAAATGTGAATAATTCATAAAAATAGGTAACGCAGAGGCAGGGCACTGGTGAAGAGCATTTTGACTGCAATGAACACTGGCAACTTTAGGGTGATTAAAGTTTGTAGGTGCTCCTAGTTGAAATAGACAGAAATTGTGCTTCCATGTGCTTCTTTGTATCCAAGATATGTCAGGGACTCACACAGACCAACTAGGGCTATGGGATGAAGATCATTTTAAAATACAACCACCCGGAATCACAGATATACTGTCTTCAAAAGTAAAACTTAGGAGCTTTGCGAGGCTGATTGCCGTGCTGTTTAGACACTTTTATTTATGAAGGAGCTAAAATCACTTCTTTTATAGATTAGATACCTGACGTTCAGGGTTTTCAAGATTGTGTTACCCACTGTAGTCAAGGACAAAAAGGAACTCGGTCTCTATGGGAACCTCTATCGGGTGTTTTCAGGCACATTCTCTCCAGGTTTACAGAGAAGACCAGTCCCTCCACCTCCATTCCCAGGGCTAGCTCACTCTCTGGCATCATGGTTTCTGGGGCTGAGTTTTCTTCTAAAGCGTCCAGAGGGACAGGTAAGGGGTGAGAGGCAAGGAGTCCATTTTAGGAAAAGCGATTCCAGTAAGAGAAGGAAAAAGGGCTGAGCCCAGCCTGGGGGTCTCTCCCTGGTTTCCTCAGACAGCCCCTGGGCCAGGACTCAGTAGATTGCCTGACAAAGAGCTCTCGTGCAGGAGGAGAGGGGGTCAGGGCAAAGTCCCAGGTCCCCAGACGTGGTTTTCAGGGTCTGGGCCCGAGAGCGGAGTCTGGGCGGGGAAGCTCAGTGTTGGGGAGTCCCCGTCTCCGTGAGTTTCAGTACCCCCTCTCACAACCTGCGTCAGGTTCTCCTACCTGGAGACTCATGACACGGCCCCAGTCCTCACTCCCATTGCGTGTCCGGTTTCTAGAGAAGCCAATCAGCGTCGCCGCGGTTCCGGGTTATAGAGGCTCCACCGACCCGCTAGGACTCAGATTCTCCCCAGATCCCGAGGATGCGGGTCAAGGCGCCCCGAGCCTTCCTCCTGCTGCTCTCAGGGGCCCTGACCCTGATCGACACCTGGGCGGGTGAGCGCGAGGTCAGGAGGAAATGGCCTCTGTGAGAGGTGCAAAGAGGGGACTGCCCGGCGGGGACGCAGGACCCCAGGGGAAGGCGCGTCTCCGCAGACACCCGCCCAGAACCCGCAACCCGGCCCCGCCCCATCCTGACCCCTCTCTTCTCCTGCTCTTCTCGGTCTGCCACCCCTTTGCCATCTCGCGACCCCGTGGCCCCCCACTCCCGGCCCCATCAACCAGGATCCGGGAACCTGTGCCGGGAGGAGGGTCGGGCTGAATCTCAGCCACTCCCCGCCCCCAGGCTCCCACTCCATGAGGTATTTCAAAACCGTCATGTCCAGTCACGGCCGCGGGGAGACTCATTTCATCGTCGTCGGCTACGTGGACGACACGCAGTTCGTGCGGTTCGACAGCGACGCCGCGAGTCCGAGGATGGAGCCCCGGGCGCCGTGGATGGAGCAGGAAGGGCAAGAGTATTGGGAAGAGCAGACAAGGAACGTCAAGGACACCGCACAGAAATTAGAAGCAGAACTTAACACACTGCGCAACTACTACAATCAGAGCAAGGCCGGTGAGCGACGCGGGCCCGGGTCCAGGTCACGACCCCCCATCCCCACAGACGGGCCGGGGTCTCCCCGAATCTCCGGGTCCAGATTCACCCCGAGGCTGTGGGACCTGCCAGGACCTTCCACTGGGGCAGAGCCTACGGCGACTTTTACCTGGTATTTTCAATTTAGGCTTAATCGCTGCCTGGTGGTGGGGGCGGGGGCGGGGTTAGTGTCTCACACCTACCAGTGGACGCACGGTTGCTACGTGGGGACAGACGGGCACCTGCTCCTCGGGTACAGTCAGTACGCCTACGACGGCATCGATCACCTCTCCCTGAACGAGGACCTGCGCTCCTGGACCGCGATGAACACGGCGGCTCAGATCACTCAGCGTAAGTTGGAGGCAGCAGGTGCGACTGAGCAGCACAGACACTACCTGGAGGGCACATGCGTGGAGTGGCTCCTCAGACACATGGAGAACGGGAAGCAGACGCTGCAGCGCATAGGTATGAGAGGCTATAGGGGCCTTCCCCATCTCCCCTGGAACTGAGTGCTTCTTACAGGTAAAGGAGGAAAATGGGATGACACCAGAGCACCCTCGTCCTGTGGGTCAGAAGACTAAGCCCATTCGGGTTTTCAGATCCGGTACCAGAGAGCAACTCCCTAAGAGGGCCCACCTTCCTCTCAGGGACATTAAGGGCTCCATGCTCTTGGGGATGGAGCAGGAGCCATCCCTGAAAAAACTGACAACTGGTTCCCTTTGACTCTGGCAGCAGCTCTGGGACTTTATGCCTCAGGCCTTGTTCTCTGTCCCACACACAGTGTGTTTGAGGTCTGACTCCAGCGTTTCTGAGTCACTTGGCCTCTGCCCAGGTCAGGACCAGAAATCCCTTTTTTCCCCCTCAAAAACCTGCCTCCTACCCTAGGCTATCTCATTCTGATTCTAGAAATGTCCAAAGACTAAGAGATTATCCCCAAACCCTGTATCCAGGCTGGTGTCTGGATTTTGTGCTCCCTTCCCTCACTCCAGTTGTCCTGTCCATTCTCAGGATGGTCACATGAGCGCTGCTTCAGTGGCCCAGGAGGGATTCAAAGTTCCTGAATTTCCTGACCCTTCTCCTCAGAACCTCCAAAGACACATGTGACCCACCACCCCATCTCTGACCACGAGGTCACCCTGAGGTGCTGGGCCCTGGGCTTATACCCTGCGGAGATCACCCTGACCTGGCAGCGTGATGGGGAGGACCTGACCCAGGACACGGAGCTTGTGGAGACCAGGCCTGCAGGGGACGGGACCTTCCAGAAGTGGGCTGCTGTGGTGGTGCCTTCTGGAGAGGAGCAGACATACACATGCCATGTGCAGCACGAGGGGCTACCTGAGCCCGTGACCCTGAGATGGGGTAAGGAGGGAGCCATGGGCTCAGAGCCTCTTCTCAGGGAAATCAGGAGCCCTTCTGGAGACCTTCAGCAGGGTCAGGGCTGAGGGCTGGGGTTAGGGCCCTCACCTTCCCTTCCCTTCCCAGAGCCGCCGCCTCAGTCCACCATCCTCATCGTGGGCGTCATTGCTGGCCTGGGTCTCCTTGGAGCTGTGGTGGCTGGAGCTGTGATCTGGAGGAAGAAGCACTCAGGTAGGGAAGGGGTGTGGTCTGAGTTTTCTTGTCCCACTGGGGGTTTTGAAGCCCAGGTAGAAGTTCTTCCTGCCTCGTTAATGGGAAGCACCATCCATGCCCACCTCTTCTTTCCTGGTGTGGCAGGCTATTTCCTAACACTGTTTATTAATGCACACGTAATAATGAAGGATAGATTTATCACCTTGATGAGTCTAGTGATGGGGACCTGATTCCTATTAGTCACAGGACAGAGGGGAAGGTCACTGCTGAGGACAGACCTCCAGGAAAATGGTTGATCTGGTCCCCACACATATGCTGTCGTCATGTTTCCTGATCCTGCCCTGGGTCTGTAATCACAGTTCTGGAAACTTCCCTGGGGTCTAGGACTAGGGGGTTCCTTTAGGACCTCATGGCCCTGCCTCCTTCCTGGCTTCTCACAGGATGTTTTCTTCCCACAGATAGAAAAGGAGGGAGCTATGCTCAGGCTGCAAGTAAGGATGGAGGGAAGGTTGATCCTTGAGACCCTTGTAATAGTGTAGATAGGAGCTCACTCACCCCATACTTCCTCCTTTATTCTCATCTCCTGTGGGCTCTGACCACATCCTGGTTTATACTACCCCAGGCAGCGACAGTGTCAAGAGCTCTGAATGGTCTCTCACAGCAGGTGAGACCCTGGAGGGTCTGAAGTAGGGAGGGGTTGGGGCACAGGGGCAGGACAAGGTTATGGGGATTCCATAGTTGGGACATTTTGAATATGCAGTGGGGTGTTCGATGTTACCAATTACAGTCACTGACTTAAATTGTTCATGATTATTTTCTTCTATCGCATGAGAAAGCTGCCTTGTTGGGGACTGAACGACGTAAAATTTGTTTATGCTCTCCCTCCATGGTGACTTCAGGAATCTCTGACTTTTCTTTTTGCAGAGGTTATCTGAATATTCCTTTAGGCATATTGTGAGGAGGTGGAGAGACTAGCCCACCCTCTGCCCACTACAAACCCGTCCCCACACTGCCCTGTGTTCTCTTCCCTGATCAGCCTTCCTGTTGCAGCAGAGGTGGGGCCGGGCCATCTCCATCACTGTCTCAACTTCGTGTTGCACTGAGCTGCAACTTCTCACTACCTCGTTGAAAATAAAAATCAGAATGTTTTTTCAAATTCTTGCCATGAAGGATTGATGAGTTAATTAAATAAGAAGATTCCTAAAATTTAGGAGAGAAAATAAATGGAAGACCCGAGAATCTTCCAGAATCTGCCTGTTTGCTGTGCTGAGTCTGTCGCAGGTAGGGACAGGAGAAGGCTGTGAGGAGCTGAGCGTGGACAGGACCTCTGTCCACTCAGTGCTCAGTGAATCGTGGGCTTTGACATGGTCACTCCTCGGCTGGGTCATCTCTCTGCTCCTTTCTTCTGGTCCTTTCAGTAGAACCTTGTCCACCAGAACCTGTGATCACTAGGACTCGGACATCACCCAGGCCTTTTTGTGTCTCCAGGACTGTGGGCAGCGATGGCTTTGTGTGACTGGATCAGACTAGGCTCAGGTCTGGGTCCAGCCCTCAGCCCCGCTTTTGGGTGTTTCTTTGTTGTTTTTTTGTTTCTTTAGAGGATTGTGTCTGTTCTTGTTCTTGTATATGAGTTCATGTCTCATTCTCCACTGGATGTCCCCCCATCTCTGACAGCAGCAGGAGTTGTTTGGCCTGTCATTGTCCCTGGAAGACGAGGAGGCCCTGCACATAGGCACATGGTGTCCAGAGATGAATTTTCAGACTCATCCAGCTCTGCCTCCTTCTAGGGCTTGATCGCCATTTCCAAGTTTCCCCAACCTTCTCAAAGGAGCCAGATTCTGGAATTAGAAGGAGGGACCCCAAAATTTCTCATCCCAGAGAAGTTCCTGTTGGGATTCTCCTGCTCTGCAGCCTGCTCTCTCCTGGCCCTTAGCTCCAGTCATCCTAGTGCTGGCTCCAATCTAAACTCGTGATTTATAAAGCAGAGTTTACCTTAGGTTTATACTTGGTTGGAAAATAGGACTCATAAGTCAAGGATCGTTACCTGAAGAGGGAAGTATAATTGTGTGCTATGGTGTTCAGGAGGGATCTGATCAGACCACATACCCAGGGCAGACTACACACTTCTGGCTCCATGTCTAGCAGGCATGGAGACTAGGGAGTCCCAAACTTTCCTGTGCACAGAAATCCCCTGGACATTAAAATTCAGAGTCTGTAGGAGAGCATGAGATTCTGAATTTAACAAGATGCTGTGCTGCTGATGCTGCTGGTCTTCAGATCACACATTTAGTAGCAAGAACATAGACCAGGATTCCCACATGGCTGGGCATCAGCCTCACCTGTAGGGCTTGTTAAATAAGAGATTCTTTGGTCTTGTACCTAATACCCTGAGTTGGTGGGTCTGGGGAGAGGCCTGAGTGTTTTGTAAGAAGCCCCACAAGCAGTCCTGGTGCTCAGCCACACTGGGAACTACTAAGGTCAGTGACAGAGAATGCACAGGGTGGGGACAGGGTCTTAAAATCACAGTTAAAAGTGCGCTTTTTTTCCCATTACAAAGAAGAGGGAGGACGTATATGATCAGTTATGAGACATGATTTTAGGAGACGCATATCGTTCTCTTTACTGTAGGGTTTAGTCAAGTGGAACATTCAGGAAGTGGTTCACAGTTTAGCGTAATGAAAATCTCTGTATGCTTGCTCTCTGAAGCTATTCCCCAGATTGATTTCTTGGACCAAACAATGGAATCCAAGTTTTTTCTAATTTAGACATAAAGCAGTATGTGTGTGTTTGTATGTATGTATATATACATAAAATGTTGGAATCTAGTATTATTTGGAGGAACAGGCTTGAGGCCACACAGCCAGAAACAGAATCTACAACCCCACCATAGGACAGATCCCACATAGGAACCACTGCCCCTGCTGCTGGATGCAGATGTCACTACTCACACCACTGACACCCTTCGTGAAGGACACTGGATCCTGCGGCTGGGACTTCTACCGCCACTGCTCCTGGCAACTGGATATTGTTGCTGCCACTCATGCCACCCTTGCCAAATGCATTCTGCGCAGTTCCAGCCTCTCCATGTCACCACATGCTGAGTCAGAGTCTGACGTGGTCTCCTGACTGGCGGAGCCTGAGCTTCACGTTGTATCCATCTGCAAGAATGTTTGGGAAAGTGGGTTTTCCTCTTTTATGGAGAGAGGTGGTCTCTGCCTCCTACCAAGACTCTTTAAGTGTGGAATTCTCCTAATGTAGGTGTTTGGGGGTAAAGGATGGAAAAAGAATGACAAATTGTAATTCTTGGAGCAAAGATCTAGATGGGACTTTATCTGATACTTTGTAAGCACCCAAGTTTGGTTGGACAACAAGTGGCTAATAAATGACATCACTCATCCCCTTGATACTATATTACTAGATCCCCCTTTGTCTACTCCAGCTTATACTCACAAATAAGTGGAGTGGCATTGCGGGATGGTGAAATGATTATTCAAAATGCCTCGCCCTGCCTTTGTCTCTTACTAGGATTAGAACACCCAGGTCTGTAAGACTTCAGAAGGTCTGGTCTGTGTGTGCACTGATGTTTTACAATAACATTTACATTTACATATATACATTGAAATATCTCTGGGGAGAGAATCTTTAACATTTACGTTTTATTGGACCCCCAAAAAAGACTACAAAACAAACAAACAAAATACCAAAACATCATTCTACTTTTCTAGTTTAGATGTAGTGCCACCAAAGTCTGGACCATGAACAGATGGTAATTGACCTGAGGACATGATATAAATGCTTATATTTTGCTTATCCTTTGCTCTGGGACAAGATAAGGTAGAGCCTTACTTGCTTACTCTTACTCTGAATTTCTCTTTGGGGGATAGTGAGGGTTTTTTCCTCCACCAAACAATTCTCTGGTTCTCAGCCACCAACTGAGTGTCCTACAATCAGAGAATTTTGACACTATCTTGAGCTAGTGTCAGACCCCTTAGGTTTAAGGGCTCAGTCCTAGAAGACTGCCTTCATTTAAGACACAAGTTGTCCCCATTTTACCATGGGCGCGCATCACCTGCACTTCTGTCCCACTTGGCTATGAAGTTGGGTTTTCTCCTCCTACATTCTATAATTTGCTGTAACTGATAACGAGCCTCTTAATCTCAAATTCAATGTGCCCAGTGCACAGCAAGCCAAACACTGAGACATTGGTGCTTGGAGATGGGGAAAGTCTCCATTTGAGTTGGCCAAGATGAGAAGGTGGGAGCATGGGTCCTCTCAAATCCACCTTCACAAGAGCAAAAAGCAGTGGATGTTTTATAGAGCTAACGGGCTTGGCAAGAGGAGCTTCAGAGCAACAAAGGGGTCACTCCAAATAAGCCCCTGGACAATCTGCAATGGCTGCTGGGAGCTGGCCATCTGGTGATCCCAGCCTCCCCAAAGGCATATTCTTTCTTCTGCAAAACAAACTCACAGATCTTAGAGACCCAGGTCACCCCTCGAGTTAAACAAGAAAGCAGAAAATTGACAAGATTCATCTGTGTCTGCATTGGGAACAAGGTCAAAAGGCCATCATGTTCTTATCGAATATCTACAGTAACCCTCAGGTACCTGGCTTCATTAGAACTCATAGCACTCAGGAAAATGCTATGCTTGTTATTATAGTTTATTATCAAAGATACAAGTGAGCAGCCAGATGAAGAGGTAAGTAGGGTGAGGTCTAGAAGGGTCCTGAGGGCAGGAGCCTCTCTGTCCCATGGACTTGGAGTGTGCCACCCTCCCAGCACATGGATGTACTCACCAATTTGGAAGCACTCCAGATTTTGTCATTTTATGTTTTTTAATAGAAGTTTCATTATGTAAGCATGATTGATTAAATCCTTGACCATTGGTAATTGGACTTAACCTCCAGCCCCTCTCCCTGGCGGTCAGGAGTGAGGCAAAAAGTTCGAACTTTCTAATCATGGCTTGGCCTTTCTGGAGACCAGCCCCCACCCTGAAGCTATCTAGGACCTCTGGGCCAAGAGTCAAATCATTAGCATCCCAAAGACGCTCATCATTCAGCAGACTCCAAGGGTTTGGGAAGCTCTATGCCAGGAACTAGGGACAAAGACCAAATGTTTTTTATTATACCTCTGGCCACCCTCTGGTCTTTGACCACAGATCCCTTATACTAAAAGGACCATAACAGGTAAAAGATGCTGGCGCATTACTTGATCCCCATTCAGTCATTAATAGTTAGTCCAGTCCATCACCTATTGCATGAGTATGTCTCCCAGGACAAAGCCACTTGGGTTTACAGGCTTCCATTTGATCAGGTTCCAGAAGCAGAAATGATCCCAGCAATACATGGCTTCACCCTTTCAGGCATCTGGATAATTGAACTAAGAGACAATATCACCTCTTGCTCACACCTTTTCTGAGGTCTTAATGTAATATTGAATTTCATTCTTAACATATCCCATTTATTCATTCCTTTACATTCAGCTAATATTTCTGCTTCACTCTGTTTGCACCAAACTTTTCAACCTTTGGAAGGGACGTTAAGTTTGGCCACTGTGCTCATCTAGACTGCAACGATACTAGTCTAATGGTTCCTCCTCCTCAGTCCACTCCCATTCATAGAGGAGAGGGTCACATAGGCACAGAACTAGCGGGTTAACTGACCACTAGGCAATATAGCTGCATTCACTGTCAGCCACAGTTTACCAGATGGGGTGAAGGCACAACCCATCCCTTCAGGCCCTTAGGAATTCTGACATAAACGTGTAAAAATGCAGTTACAGTTTCTTGCTTAGGAATCATTCCCATTTCTGCCCCTTGTAGTTGCATCCCTGTCATGAGACCACTGCATCAGTTTGGAGGAAGAAAGTTAAGGTAAAACATAGTTATATCAGTGACCTCCCCACTTAGGAATAATTTTGTAGTCATATGACCATCCTGCCTCACCCCTCCTCCACAGATCCTCCAGGAAAAAGATAGGAAACTCTTTAGTGGAAACATTCCTGTAGCCCCACTCATGTTGAGCCTGAGCACTCACTCATGAAGGTGTGTAAGCCAGCCCTTCATACCTCTCTATTCCCCCACCCCATTTTAGACCACCAATGTTCAAATTGCCCATTCAAATTCTCTATCAAGCTATCATTCTGAGAAGTGATATCTCTCTGCCCATTATGGGACAATATGGGCTGTAAGGTATGTCCTTTGTTCTGAAGGAATGTGACTCAGCAGTCCAAATTGGTGCGATATCTTCTGTTCTGGTTCTTTTCTAGCACTCTGAGTATTTGTATCTCCCCTTGGGTAAGCAAAGCCCAATCCAGAGTCAATATCTACTCCCGTCAAGACCCATTTGTAGCCCCCTGGGCCACCAGCATCAGACTGGTTTGCCAGTTATGTTCAAGGCCTTCCCACTAGGGAATCGGCCACATAGCCCTCTGCAGTCTCTATCTCTTTTGCTGGCAGACAGAACAGTTCTTTTTGGTATTTTGTGCCTCAGAGGATGCAAGACAAGTCTAGACTCAGCCCATCTCTGCATTGCTACCACCCCCCCATGTCCACTTATTTCATGGACTCAAGTGGCCACCTCAAGTGAGGACACCATGATATCCACCCATCAGTTCCAATCACCTTCAAAATCCAGAAGGGGGTTCTTGTGATGAGCATCAGAATGTCCTACTTACCCACCCCTCAAATTCCCATAGTGATTTCTATAGGAGTGTGCTCCTTATAGGCATTCCTTTAAGAATAAATTCTCATTGCCCTCTGCCTGACCACATGGCCAGGCTTTTGGCCATTGCCCATGAGTTGGTAAAAACCAAAACATAGGGGATTTTATCATTTTCAATTCTTCCAAAACTGCTAGGGAAACATCACACAATTCAGCTCATCAAGCTGATCTGTTTTTACCTTCCTTGATCGGAGAAGTGAACTTCCAAACTAGATATTGTCTTTTCACCTGGGAACTGCCATCCACAAACCAAGCAGCTCTTTGTAGGTTGGTTGAGAGCTATTTATAGGACACTGTTAAAGTGGTGATGGAATCCAGCAGCTCCTCATGCAGTTACAAAGTCAGTCCTAGGGGAAAAGAGGCTCCCTGCTCATGTGTGTATCCTCCCTGCATTTCCCTGGTAACATTATCCTCTATAAACTGTGTCCACTTTTCTATGGAACTCTTCTGGACACTGTCCTCAACATTAGAGTGTTTCTCCAACCTTATCTAAGACCTCATGTTTATTTCAGGTTTCAAGATTATTTTATGTCCTTCAGTCATAGAGGTAGTTTCAATTAATGTCCAAAAGCAAGCCTGTAACTGCCTCTTGAATAGAAATTCTCTAGTTCAAAATCCCATTAGTCAACACTGGGAAGGACTCAGGGGCTTTTCCAGAAGCCTCAGTGTGTGCTCCATGCAGGGCTATTGTACAGAGAATGTGTCTGCACTGCACTGAAGCTTCTATTCTACACTGTTTGGTTTCCACTGAATGTAAGCAATTAATATTGCTTGAAGGATGGATTTACATGCCTTCTGTTTTACAATTGTGGGGGACCAGAATTTTCCCATCCCAAAATGTGTCTCTTTGGTTTGATTATTTTTAAAAACAAAAAACTCTGAAAGAAACTTTGATCTTGCCCCTAGCTGCCTAAAAGAATTTAAGATGGAAAGTCTGTTCCAGGAAGGAGCTAATACCATATGATAACTATAGTATAATATAAATAAGGTGTGATAGACAGGGAGGAGCCTAGCAAGGGCCTTTTAATCAAAGTCCTCTCCATCTCTTTGTCTTCACAAGGTTTGGTTGACATTTGTTTACCAAACATTTGCTTTTCCATCTCCATGTAAATTGCCTTCCTTTTCTTTGAAGTCCCAAACCACTACCCCCAACATCCTCTTTTGTCCTTAGTTGAAGATGGTATTTAAGGTAATGGCTTCTGCCATTTTAGCAAGTTATTCAGTTTTCCTGGGTTTCTCTCATGTATACGTGTTATTAAACTTGTCTGATTTTCTCCTGTTATTCTGTCTCGTGTCAAAATAATTCTTAGACCAGCCAGAAGGACCTACGGGGAAGAGGAATAATTCTTCCTCCCCTACACGATACTAGGTAGGGAAAGTGTTTCCCTGTCAGACATAATATCCA